TGGGCCCTGGTGCTTGAGATTCTACACTGGAGATCCTGTTTGGAACGTTCCCAGAACTTAATTTTCCCAGGCCATTTAAACGTGCTGTTTTATGAGCATGTGTAGCTCAGTAGCATTAATCCCATTTCCAAACTTATAGCTAATATAAGAAGCAATGGGCAGCTAACCTAATTAGTTCTCCTGATTTAGTTGTTTGCTAGGCTGGTGCTACGAACTCCACTGTCTCCACCCAGCTCTCAATCAGAATCCAGGCCCTGGACCTCTCTACCAGGTGACCCTCTACCAGCAATGGCAATGTAAAGAACTTAATGTTCTGGTTGAGGAGGGCTGTTCCTTTGGGTGATCTAATGATTTTCTGCCAGTTTCCCTCTGTTAATGTTTCTCTGAAACCTCCTCTCTGGGGGCTTTATTCTCCCCCTTGGATCTGTCCACAGTTGAGAAAGGTCTGTGTCGTTTAGCTTGAGACATATGAACCTCAGATGCTCATATTTGTTTCCATGTGTTTCTGCCTCCTTTTCTTTCCCGTTGGTCTCCAGACAAGTTCTGTGTTGTCCTGGTTCCATGTCAAGTCAGGTTGCCTTCCACACTCAGCTCTGTGTCATCTGTCTTTCTAGTGCCTGTCCTTCCAGGCCCAATACCAACCAGGAAGCTTTCTTTTTCTCATATTCCTTATAAGTAATGAACAATAATAGTAACAAAATGATCCAGTGTTTTAAAAAAAACCTTCAATTTTTGCCTCTACATGTACTGTTCAGCCCACTCTGTTACACCAAAAATACATATGCGGTAGAACCAAAAGCTATGGTGAATATTTAAAAGAATTACTGTACAGTTACATATTGCCATGGATCCTCCTCAAACTACGGTATACCCCTCCCTTCAAATACCCTTACCTCATCATTCTTGCCATTTTCTGAAGTAATTCTGGAAGTCCTCTTTCTTGAGTGTCTTTAGTTACACTGCTATGCTTGACTTGATGTCCTGAAGGGACTCAAGGCATTTACCTTTCATGGTCATTTTGATTTGGAAGAAGAGCCAGAAGTCACGTGGTACTAGATCCAGCAAATAAAGTGCATGAGGACATACCACAGCGTTTTTATGAGCCTGCCTTTCCACTGAATGGCTTTCAGTGGCTACATTCATGCCTCGTAAAGACATTCAAAAAAGACGACTTCCAGAACTCTTTAGAAAGTACCAAAAATGATGAAATAAGTGTGTCTGAGTGAGAGGGAAGATTTCAGGGTGTGGGGGGGAGGGGAGGAGGTTAATGGCAATATGCATTTACGTTTTTTTAAAAACTTAAATACTACGTTTCAATCATGCCTTATATTATTAAGAGTTTTTGTTTTGGCTAATAGACACATATGAGAAGGATCTATAACATTTTTTCTTTCTTATTATAAAAGCACTCCATGTTCTTTGTAGAAAAAAGTATGGTATTTTTAGCTACCTTCTAAAAATGGAGCTTACTCATAGTATTTCACGTTAAATAAACAAAGCAGGATGTAATTTCATTGTTTACAGGATTACAACTATGTAAAAAAAAACACTAGTAGGAAATATATCCAAATTTAGTAAGAGCTGTCTTTGGGTGGAGAGTATAAAGATTTCTTTTCCTTTTTCTACCCTTTCTATAATTTCCAATTTTCTATCGTATTTATTTACTTACATAATTATAAAAGACAAAAATTTTCCAAGAAGGTTATTTAGCAAGATGCTGTGTCAAAACTCCTTTCAAGCACTCGTGCCAAGACTGTTCACTGCCAACTAAACCTGCAATGGCAGATGCGACACTGACTCATACCAGAGCTTTGAAATGCCAGAAGTTCCCAAGCAAAGAGGAGATGACATCCAGTTCCATCCCCACCTCTGCCAGTGTCTGCTTGTCTCTCCTTAATACCTTCCCCATGGGGAAAGCTAAAACATGCTCACAGAGCTCCATTTTTGTCATGTCAGTTTCACCAATCCTACATTTTTTCCATGCATATAGTCACAGGATATACAACTTTAGCTGAATAAATTTCATATAAACTTTAATGCAGATGATCAATTATCAACTATGTTAAGAAAATCAGGTTTGGTGTATCACTATATCTGGTCTGCCACTGACTTCCTCGCAACCTTTGGAATAGCCTTTGCTGAGAGAGTTGGACCATTATCTTCCTTAAGTGTCTATGATTCACTTGAGTTTCACAGTCCTTAAGCAGGAAATTAACTTTGAACTGGAAAAATTTAACTTCTAACCACAAGCACAGTTTCCTTTTTTCTGATTACATTTTTGAAAAGGAGGTTATACATCTTTGTTTGCAGTCAGGATGCCAAAATAGCACCTATTTTCACCCTCCACTGCATTTCCCATAGGCTGTCCATTTGTTCCTGCAAAATGTTCCTTCGCACAGCATTTACTGCCGCCCACTGTTGATCGTAGTTCTGCTTAAAGTTTTGATCCTGTTTCTAATCACATGCGGCCCTGCTGCCTTGAGCCAACTGGGCTTTTCTTCTTGCTTAGCTTTGGCATTGATCCAGTCACTTTATCTCCTTTCCTTTTTCTCACTGCCTTCAAATGCCTTCCTCTGTCTCCTCAGAGTAGCTTCCTGGATTATGAAGGAGCCCAACTCTTCCATGTGACAATAACAGACTACCCTATTCTTCCACTGAAATGTCTCTCCTTTGAGCAAAGCCCTGGGCCCTTGTAGCCTCCACAGAGGGCAGTCATTAGCTCTGCACTCAACCTGAATGAACCCTTACTGACCACTCCACACTGAGGTAGTTCTGGGGGCTAGCCTGGATGAGCTTACCAACAGTTACCCACCCAAGACATTATTCTTCCAATCACCAGACATTTTTCATCAATCAACAAATGGCCAGTGTGACTCTTGATGCTCTGAGGGAGCACTGAGAATAACACAAAGAAAACTTCCTCTGGCCTGCCCTGTACAATACAATGAAATTAAAATTGCACACTCACTGGCCACCTACCCCATGCTCAATAAACATAGATGACTACCATTCTGGGAGGCAGAGCTGGAGACCATGTCCATCACCACAAAAAGTTCTCCTGTGACCCTGACACACAGACAGCAGGGAGCACACGAGAGTCACAAGAGACTTTCACTCTGTCCCACATATTTGATCAGCTGCTTCTGGGAGATGGGGCAGCACACAACATGTCTAAAGTGGCAAGGCTCCTGCTGTGCCCTCTGGGGACAGCTGTGTTCTATTCCATCTAACTATGGTGCACTCCTCGATGCCCCTTCTTGGTTTCAGGCAGTTCCTGTAAAATCTATTATCATCTTCTTTGCACAAAGTCAAGAAAGTTTTTGAATCCAGAGAGTTTAAATGAAAAACAAAGCAAATGCTAGCGCCAGAAAGTCTCATTCACAATCCTTTTCTTAAGTCACTGATGAAAATGACACACATTTATCTCTCTCCAGGCCTTCTTAACCCTCTTTGTCACATTCAGTGACTTTACTGACAAAGCTCAGCTGAAGTCCAGGAGCTGTTTCCACAGCCAAAGTCTTCCTCTCCAGCAGGTACAACTGTTGCAGACGGAAATGAGTTTTTAAAGCCTAAAATTAAAATAATTCTACTATTTAATGCTTTTAATAACTAATGCACCCGGTCCCCCCAGCAATTTGTCTGGGCACATATTCTTCAAAGTGCGCATTCCTGGGAGCCTGCTGTAGTTTGCAGATGACACATCCTGTATGTGAGTAACAACCAGGGCTCCAGAGCCCCACAACCACTCAGACAAGATGTTTGTTTTTCTTTCTCCTTTTCCTTCCTCCACTTGGAAAAGTCAATTATTCACCTTACCATATGTAGCAGAACTATTAGAGACACGGGTACTGCTGTGGCCACAGTATGCACAAAGAGTCCTTCATCCCTGGACTTCACCTAATTGTAACCCAGACACAGAGGTGCACGTCTGAGACATGTAAGTACATGGCTAAGTTTCTGCTTCGATTTCAAGAGCCCCAGGCAGGGACAACCAGGAAGCAACATTTGCCCTGTGGCCCCGAGAAAGCAATGCAGTCAGCTGCCTCTGCGGCTGCTTCCTCCTGGCCAGCTGTGTGCTGCTGACCTCCGAAGTGGTGAAACTGCCCTGCCCTATGACGCTGTATGTCTGCGGAGCACATCAACCACACTTCCTTGGCCCCCGCAGCTTGGGATGCGTCGGCGGGTCACCTGCCTATCCCATCAGCTCACTTGCGGCATTGTCTCAGCAACCCCTGATCTACTGTCAGCCTGCACTATCCCCCTCACGCCCATGGTGCCAGCCTGTCCTCCAGCATGTGCTGTGCCGAAGCTGGCCCAGCTGCACAGAACCAAAGGGAAGATCTGTGTGGTCTGCATCCCATTCAGCAGCCCTGTGACATCACACACCATCTGGGGCCATGTCTTCAGTCCCCAGCACCTTCATTACACTCGGTTCACTTCTAAGTAACTCAAGGGATAGGGCTGGGACTCCAGTGAACCTCGGAAAAATAGAAAATACATAGGAGGAAGTTTAGAGGGGAGCCCTGGGGAAGCAGGGAAATAGAGGACCTGTGAACAGATGGGAATTCCCAGGTGTATGCAAGGAACTGCTACTCCCTGATCTACGCTACCTCCAAAGGGATACCTGCTCCACACCCACAATGCAGGACAAGCATCTGGTCTTCCCTGAAACCCAGGGGTAGGTCACGGAGGGTCAGCTCCACACCCAGCCAGGCAGCATGAGGTTCTAGGGTGGGGTCCCCTGCCTGCTCTCCAAGAGTAGTTCACTGAGCCTACTATGCCAAGTACCAAGCCAACATTCGGCAAAATAAAACTGTTCAGGGAGAGTATCCATTGCCTTGTTTTTGGTTTAGATTGGAAATACAGCCTAATCCCCAGAAACACAATATTATGACTGATGCCACAAAGAAAATGCATTAGGGTGAGTTTCAAGAAGTAGGAAAGGTTCTCAGGACAGAATATTTTAGAGAATGCACAGAAAGTAGTATTTTGTAACATACCTACATCTAGGCTGGCCTGGTCCTCATGCTCATTCAGCCCAACAACAAGGCTTTGGACACACTGAAAAGGATAAAGTGAAAATTTTGTTTTAATTAATTACATATTATATATGTACATATAATACATATATACACTAATGTTTATTTTTGTGATCTAGAAAAACAGTTTAGGAAAACATCAGTAAAAACATGTTATATATATATATACATATATATATATATATATATATATATGTATATATATATATATCACATTATGTAACTAGAAAACCAAACTATTTTCTAAATTATTTAAGAGTTAAGATAAGGAAAGGATTTTGACCAAGCAGAAACAAACCTGAAAGCCATCCATAGATAAAACACACTATTGGCAACACCCATAGATATCAAACCACAAGTATAAATTTGTTTTGAAAAACATTTAATTAGCTTGCACTTACAACTCTGAAAGATAGCTAGGTCTGATCATGAAGTGACAGAGAATTGGATACAAGAAACCCTGCTTCAGATTATTCTGAAAGTGACCTGGGGTGCATCCCTGTTTACTTGTAGATTTCCCCTCCTAAAGTGTGTGACTACAAGATCTTTATTTCTACTTTAACTCTGGGAAGGCAGGCAAAGAAGAAAGTGTGGTAGAAGCTCATTACCTTTCCATCCTCTTTTTTGAGTGGTGATCTGCTCAACACCAAGTTCTTAATCTCTGCAAAAGGAATAATTCTCATCAGGATATGCTGATTAGAGTGTTTGAAGAAGAACAAGAAAAGGAAGAAGAGGAAGAGGAGGGAGGAGGTGGAGGAGGAGAAGAAAAAGTAAATGACAAGTACTGATGCACTGCCCAGGAGCCATGTGCACAGAGCTAGCAGGTTTTAAACATTAGCGCTCCCCAGAGTAGAATATCTGATCATCTGACTGCCAGGCTCTGGTATTATTTGTATCGAACAAGACATAAACAAGCACCCAGAGCTCACAATGCAAAATGCTACGGAGAAAAGAAGCACTGGCAAATAAATGCTCCAGATTCCAAAAGAAAGCCACTCACTACCGAAGGCTCTTCAAAACAGCAGAGATTTTCAGGACATGATCCGTTCCCACCTAAAGAAATCCCAAAGATTTGTCAATTTCTTCCAATACCATAGGTTTTAATGTTTCAAAAGAGCGCAACTCATTCTAGAAGCAGTTGATCTTTCCTCTCCCTGCAGGGAAAGTGGTGCATGACAGCGCAGCCCTCAGCCCCCACCTCTGCCAGTGGGGCCAGTCCCAGGTCACCCAGTTGTCCTCTCTCGGTAAAGGTTTCCTGGAACTGGTGATCTAGATGTTCTGGGATGAACAGGAAATCCATGAAGGGACCTTTTTCTCTGTGGCTTCACTGATTGGTTCCCTCCCCAAATACACAGTTACCGGGAAATAAAAACCATTGCTGTTAAAATAACCTTCAGGAGCAGGTTTGGGCCTAAGGATACTAAGTGCTGACATTCTTAGCAAGGATAAATGGCTGAAAATCTTGAAGCTGAATGTGCATGAATATGTATGTGATACTGGAGGACCCCAGGCTTTTTTCTAGAATCTCATCTTCCTGGGCCTAAGGTCCTGCTGGAAGCTAATTCTGGAGAAAACCTGGAGTTTTCCTAGCAAGTACATTAATTAGATTTCCCTGCCCTGCTTTGCCACTTTTTGAAAAAAAAAAAAAATCATGGCTTCATTTATATGGCTCTCCATGACAAGTCATAATAAGGATGACAAATTACAAATAAAGAGTAGTAACTAATAAGGTGAGTGTGCAGCAGAGAGGCCACAGTCCCAGTTCTCTTGTGTTTTAAAAACATCTGCTGAACTCTAACTTCAAAATTTTTTTAAAGCAAGTAACACAACTGTATTCCAAAATAGTATATTGCTTTTGAACTCAATAGTCCATGTTAGCTTTTATGATAAAAACCAAAAATGTAATAGCCTCAATTTTATGTGGTCATCACAACTGCTCTCCACAGGGAATGAAGACAAGACAGGAGATGACACCAATCAGAGGAGTTTGTGCCCCTGGCATCTTTAAAGGCATAATCCACTCATGGCCTCCTGGTGGCAGCAGAATAACATTCACATTAACTACAATTGCCAGAGACAAGACTATCAAAGGAGGCCCAAAAGCCTGCTCTTCTGTGCAGAAGTCCAAAACACAAGGTCAAACTAAAACTTTTCATTCCATCACATAGATGCAGAAAGTGTTTGCCACACAGTAGGTACACAGCAGAAAGAATATACCCATACTGTAAAAAGGGAAGTAGAGAAGACACTAAATCCAACGTACTAAAAAGGGAAGGGAAGGCTAATCAGAGGCAAAGTTTCAAAAGACAAATCTGCACTAAACATCCAGAGAAGCACATGCTTTTACTGTGTCTATTATAGGATACTCCTTAAAGCTTCTCAGACCATAAGCTCTCAAATGATTATTATGCTTCGGCTCCAAAGAATTCTGCACATGCATGGCATTTAGTCAGAAGAACAGCATATGTTTTATCCTGAATTGTTAATTTAATAGATGACCCCATCTGCGGTCCAATTTGCATTATCTAAGGACTCAGTCACACCTGGTAGGCAGCTCCTACTTCGCTCCTGACCCCCACAGGCTGGTGAGCTGATCTTTTTACACTGCTTTTGCTTACACCTGTTCCTTATGGTCTTTGTTTTTCACTTAAAAAATAATACAAGCTATATTAAAACAGATACGTTTTCATTAAAAATGGCACTTTATTTTAAAAATAAGTTTCAAGGTTATAAAGGCTTTATCCTAAAAGTATTTTTTAAAACTTTTTGGAGAATATGCAGATTCAGGATAACATATCTTTAAATTAATCTGAAGACTAAACAGAGGTGCAACTCAGAGCTTTCAAAGAATTTGGCACTCATTCTACTAGAGTTTAATTAAATTGCTTCAAGAAAGTTTCTACTAAATTGGTAGGATCCTTTTACACTAACCTACTGCCCACCAACTGCACAGTGCAATCAGACCATTCGTTGCCTTAGCAACCTCCAGCAGATAATGGGATCCGTAACTCTAGCTAGTCTGTTTTAAAGGCTTATTAATCTTGCCTTCAAGGCCCACCCAAAAGGAAGGATTACTCTTCTAAATCAGACTTACCAAACTTGATAAACATGTTTTTTATTGCCAGACCATAATGGAACAAGAGATAATCACTAATACTTATGTTCACCAGTGAGATGGCACCAGAAAACAGGTTTTTAAATCAGGGTTAAGTAGCTGTGAGATTAGTATCAATGCCTCATCAAGAAGCAGATTTGCTTTAGAAAGATCTCAACTCTCTCTATGAGTTTCACCATCTCCTTTTGTAAAATGAGACTGGAGTCTACACACAAAGAATGAAAAGCCAGAGGACAGCAGGTAGAAAGAACCTAATCAGGAGCAGGCAGACCCGGGGCTGTCTCATCCCAGCCCTCAGGTGCACAGCCAAGTCGGCCCTGGGCTCAGGTCTACAGGGCAGCCCCCCAAGCACAGCTGGAAAACAAGGTCATGCTCTGCCTGCCTGAAAATGCTAAACAAATAAACAAACAAACAAGCCAGCCCTGATATTTACTGCTGCCCCATGCACCTTCTGGTAATACACAGGGAGTTCAGAGTCTCTGAAGAATTCTTTTTTTCCCAAGAAACTGTAAATTCTGGGATAGCTGAGAGCAAACTGATTTTGGTGCAACACTTTATCTTCGGTTTGGTACTCATCATTTTTCCCCAAAGTAAGACCCAACTGGAAAATAAGCCCTAGCAAGTTTCAGGATGTGTAAAGCATTAGCCCTACCCCACCCAAAAAAGCCTGAGTTAAGAACATCAGCCAGATGGACTCATTCAGTATGTCCACTGCAACACATGACAGATGCACTCAATTATAAAATAACATTATTAATATATAATTAAGTATAAATGAATACAGTGGCCCCCCCAAAACTTGTGGAGGTTATGTTTCTAAAGTGCTTTCAAATTATGAAAATCTGTGAATTTCAAATATGGTCAGAAAACACCTATAAATGCCTATTTTTATAGTTTAAACCCTAAAATGCTATGTTACCTGCAGTTAAGTAATTTATTGTAATAAAGTATTGTATACAGTACTATAAAAATTTAATTTGATAAAAACATTGTATAGTATTTCAACCCTCTCCTGAAATGTCTTAAACTTCTTCTGGCACTTAGATTCATTACCTGAAGGCTTAGAAGGTGCAGAACGTTTTGGTGGCATCTAAGTGATCTTAGGTTTTAAAGAAAGCACAACCTGTACATAGCCATACATAGCCATACAGCAACCTGTTAAGATGCAGAAATGCTTGTGCATCAGAGATAGGTTACAGGGAGGCAGCCCTGTAACCTAACCTTCCTGCAGTCCTAGCAGGAAGCAGAACTAAATATGCTCTTGGATTGGCTTTTTGCAAACCTCCTGCCAAAGAAAACAACTGCAAACTGTGTGCGTGTGCGTGTGTGTGTGTGTGTGTGTGTGTGTGTGTGTGCATGCACACACACCTACAGAGGATACAGTATTTGCGGTTTCCGTGGCCTTGAAGGGGTTTCCTCGAACAAATTATTAGTTAGGTACTAAGGAAAAATCTGCAAATGACTGAGGCCAAGAACTCTGAACCTCAACTTTGGGGCTGGCAGAAGTTTGTGTGTGGAGAATACTGTAATATCATTGACATCAATACTTATATACTAATAAGTATTAATAATTATAATTATTTATTATAAATTATAATTAAGTATTTGTACATACCCAAGCGATCGGACAAGTGTAAACACCTATGAAAACAGACAATGCGAGATTTCCAGCCGAGTGGCCAGCTAGAGTCAGAGACAGCACAAGAATAGTGAGCCCTTGGTAACGAGTGGACACAGTAGTGTCTAATGTGAATCCTCCTAATTCAGTGCGCTGTGTGTTGTAACGAATGCCCTGAATGTGCTCGTGTGGAATAAAGGAACGTTTTCTGAATTTTGGTGCCTGCAGTTTCTTACTGCTTCTATACAGACCCTCATTCTGTCACCGTGTCTGTTGCCGCTCCACACCCGGAGTCTTCCGTTAACACTTCTTTAATGGGAACTCGGTGGAGTCCAGCCTGCAAATTGCCCGCGATTCTGAGCAGCTGCACGGACAGGAAGGGACAGGAAGTGCTTGTCTAAGAGAGCGCTGCTGCTGCCACCAGCAAGTGGGACCAATGGCTCCACAGGAAGTGGAGTGGCAAGAAACGCAGGCGGAATCCGGGGTCTGGAGAGTCATGATGATATTCCAGAGGAGGGTGACAGGATTTGAATAAATATGGATTCTTATACATGAATAAACACAGATTGTGCATGGGAAAAAATAAAACATTTCCTGAACATAGGCCCTATCAGGTCTTTTGGAGCCAAAATTAATATATGATTTGATTTGATTTTGGGGAAAAATGGTGTGCTGAATAAATAAATATTTATCTCCTGGTGGCCCCAAATATCTACCACATGGTGGATTGTTAGGTAGACAATGAATCAGAACAGGGAAGAGAAAGTTGTTTCTGTTTTGGGATTACTAATTCGAACCCTTCAAGTAACCAGCACCACTTTATCAAGGCTTCTGAACTGCCAGGTAAGTTAACAGGCTGAGCTGCTGCAAAGCAACCTCTGCCCTCAGTCCACAGCCCTGCTTCCCTGGCAGTGCCTTCCCCTCATTTGATGACCCCAGTGGGGATCCAGTCTGGTGCTGCAGGACAGCTAACAGGCCCACAGGTCTGTGTTTATACACTATATTTATTGTGAGGGAATTTGTACATGTACATAATGTATCTTAGTTCTTTTTATCTCCTTCCCTTTCTATCTTTCCCTGCTCCCTCCCTCTCTTAGTCTGTTTCTCATTTGAAAAGCTCTATTTCTGTTTTGTTTTGTTTTTTATTCTCTTTTTGGTCCCTGTTTTCTCCTTCCCTCCCCCATCTCTTGTTCTTCTTCCCACTGGAAAAAGAGTTCCCTACTTCCTATTATCTATCCTTTATTTTGCTGTTTATTTATATTTTGGATTTCTCATATGAGAGAAATTGTGCAATATTTATTTCACTTAACATTATGATCTCAAGGTAATCTGCTTTCCTTAAAATGGCTCAAGTTTATCCTTCTTTATGGCAGAGTAGTACTGCGTTGTGTATAAATAGTACAGGTTCTTTGGCCATTCATCTGTTTATGGATCTACGTCATTTCCAAGATTTAGTTATTGTGAGCTGTGCTACTACAAACATGGGTATGCATGTATCACTGTAACGAGATGTTTTTTTACTCTTTAGGGAAGATACCTAGAAGAGGCATAGCTGGTTCAAATGGAATTTCTAGTTTCAGTTTTTTGAGGAATCTCCATCCTGATGTCCATAGTGGTTGCACTAGTTTTAATTCCCATTAACAATGTCGAAAGATTCCTTTTTCCCCAGAGGCTGCTCCAGCCATTTGTTATTTGATCTCTTGATGATAGCCATTCTTGTTGGAGATGGAATCTCAGAGTTGTTTTAATTTGCATTTCTCCAATGGCCTGTGATGTTGAACATGTTTTCATGTATTTATTGGCATATGTATTTCTTCTGAGAAGTATTTCTTCATTTGGGAGTAAGCACTTTTAATTCAGCAACTATGATGATATCAAACTTTTGTCTTCACATTGTAATTACTCCTTTTTACAAAAAACTGGGAACAGTCATGGGAACTTACAATTTTCCTGCCCAGTACAAATATGGATGAGGCAAAACAATAGGGTGCTTGTCTACAGAAGTATCAAAATGCGTCTTTCTTCACTCAAGAGACCCCGGAGTCTGTCACTTCCATGCGCTCAGCCTGGCCTCACTGAACTACAGCTGCAGACAAGGTTCCCCAAGTTAGAAGAAATTCTAGCCCCAGCAATTCAAAAAGGTATGCATTAATGTTTACGCTTCTTGTGGGGAGCAGTGCACGTACATAACACTTCTCAATATCCTGTCTCATCTCCTACCCTCCAACCCCTTCCTCCATCTCTTCATCTCCTTCTCCTTTGAGGAAGATCTCTCTCCCTGCTTCCTACTTTTTGTCTCCTCTTTTGCTCTTATAGGAGTTTCTCCTATAAGAGAAATCATGCAATAATATGTAAGCATGTGTGTCTGTTTTATTTAAATTAACATTTTAAAATATCTTTTTTTAATATTTATACTCTGTACAATTTCAGAAAGAAAAAATGTATCTTTTGAAACACAATTTTATAATTTATATTACTTACAATACTTTTTTGTACCACAAATGTAATTGTTTAATAAAACTTGGAGAGAACTAAGAAAAATCATCAATATAACCAGCACTAAATTTTGTATATACAAGGAATGTATACCAAAGTTTCATATACCGTACAATTCACCCTAGTAATGCATATAATTCTTTTGGTCTTAATCTATCTAGAGCTTTGCAACCATAGCCAAGGTCAAGTTCAGGATATTGTCATGACCTCAAAAAGGAAATCCACATTTCTGCATATGATCCCAGCTCTCATCCACTTATTTAACCATTCACTTTCTTTTCAGTGGATCTGCCTGCTCTAGATGTTTTATATAAATGGAATCACAATATGTGATCTTCTGCAATTGGCTTCTTCCACATAGTGTAGTGTTTTCAAGGTTCTTCCACTTTACAGCCCTAAATCAGTGCTTCATTCTTCTTTACTGCCCCATAATATTTCACTATACCTCTATACATACACTACATTTTGTTCATTCATTCCTAGGCCAGTGAGCATTTGGGTTATTTCCATTTTTGTCTCTTATGAACAAAGCTTCAGTGAACATACACATGCAACTTTTTGTGTAGATATGTTTTCACTTCTCTGGAGCATAGGAATATAATTATTGGGCAATATGATAACTATGTTTAATATGCTTTCATATGGATTTTTAATCTTCTATGCATTCTCCAATCATAATGGGGAAAAAAGTATGATCAGAAATTTGATTGCAATTATCAAACAGAAGTTCCACATCATTATATGTCAAACTGAAGTTGGGACAAAATTTTCCTAATTTAACTAATTACTTGAAAAAGACGAGGCAAGTCATTTTTCAAACCTATAAATGAAATTCAATTTTTTCAACTTTTATGTTCCTAAGACTTCAAACTTAGATTACATTTCAAGAAAGGGACTATACACTTTACATTTCCAAGTTCAGCTCATTCCTACTCCATTAGAATCCTTAGCCGAGTTAATATTTGTCTCTCTTTGCAGCCTGCTAATTTGACCCAACTGGAGGACAGGCTGTATGTCAGACTCCATGCAAATTCATGGCTTCTAGGTGAGCTCTGAAGAACTCGCAGTCCTGGGCCCCCACACAAAGTGGTTCAATCAGTCAATCTCTGAGGTTCTTGCCAGCTGAAACATGATCCTTTAGTTCTGTGCTAAGCTGGGGAGTGAGGAACATCATTTTCATTTATGTGTGAGAAATGCTGCTATTATAATAATATACAAAATGAGCATTATATCAGCTTAATATTCTATCTTTATCTTTAGTCCTTTAATGATGAAAGTTGTTTTTGTTTTATCATTATTTCAGAAAAGGACTGGCAAAATCGGTCTCTAAAAGTCTCAACTGTTCTGTAAAATAAAAAGACAAACTATAAACCATTCTCTGGAACTCGGAGCTATGTTCTTTGAGCATGTTCTTAAATTTTTGTTTTAAATCTATTTTGACACATAATTGTACATATCTAGTGGGTAACAGTGAGATAATCTGATTCATTTATACAATGTGTAATGATCAGATTAGAGAAATTAGTGTTTCTGTAACTTATTTCAGTAGTCTACTAATTGATCTAGCTCTTTGTAATATACATAAGTTGTTGTAAGCTGTTGTCAGCTTGCTGTGCTGCAGAACATGAGAATTTATTTCCCCTGCATAATTATATGTTGGTACTCAAAACCCAGCTATCTTCTAGACCCTTCTATCTCTGTTTCTAGTCTTTTGTAATCACTATCCTATTTCTTTTGCTCAGAAATCAACTTTTATTCACTTCTACCTCTAAAAGCATGCATTACTTGTTTTTTTATGTTGGACCTTTAAAATTGTGTTAAAAATCTCATATCCAGGCCTTAAACAGATACTCCCTGCTAAGATTAGGACACAGTGGTTATCACTAACCAAGTGGTCATCCTGCAGAAAAGATTCCTAACTGCCATCTTCATTTCCCAAAATTGAGCCCCCACTTCCTTGGTATAAAAGATCTATATCTTGATAAAATATTTGAACCACGTGTGACAGTTTTAAAAAGACTTAAGTTAAAATATTTTAAGTGAAAAAATTGGGGAAAGAAACTTATGGATTAAAAGTCCTCCTGTTTTGCTAATGTCACTCGGGAAATTTTCAAATAACGAGAATAGGCTTTCAACTAACACACACATGCACACACACACACACAGCCCTGCATCTCACAAACCAGAGCAGACCAGGGAGTGCCATACCCCACCTAAAGAGTTTCCACAGGAAAAAATCTGCTCATCCCTAGTCACCATGGTAAGAATGGTTCTATCTTGGAGCCTGAAAACATAGGCGTTTACCCCTAAACTCACTAAGGGCTGATGTTATAGTTTGCTTTCTAAACAATCCACCTTGTGCTATGCACCCACCGTATTTGACACTGGGAAGATACTCTATCCACATTTTTTCATTTTAGTCTTACTATTAAGTACCAAATGACACTCCCACCTCTACCACCACTATCCCTACCATTTCCACAAACACAGTTGAGTGATTTGCACAATGCCAGGAAGCCAGTTCATGGCAGAGCTGATGTTTTTAACACAATTTGCTTGTCACTGGCATGTGTCATCAAGACAAGCCTGTGCGTGTGAGTCACAAATCTCCCAGTCAGAAAGACCTGAGACAGATTACCATTTGGAAAAGAGCTCATTTCCAGGCAATGATTCCAATGTTTGCATTTTTTCCATCACAAAGGTGCTGAAGAAAACTCTACACCAGAAGCCCAAACCCTGAATCTGCAGATCCTCTGTTACACAGACATGGTTAGGAGCCTGCAGTATGCTGTGGAGGAGGCAGACTCTTAACCCGACTTCTCACTGCCTGGGCAAGCTGTGTCACCTCAGGCAAGTCATATAACCTCTTTGTGCTGCCACTTCTTCATGCATAAAATGAGACAAGTTGATCCCTGGCTCCACATCCTTTCCCACAATGACTGGCTTGTATGGCGCATGAGTGCACACGCTTCATTCTGTTCACAGCTACCTGCCTGGTACTTAGAATAATGCCTGGCACACAGCAGGTACTAACAAATGCTCAAGGGACATTAACAAAAATAGACTCCTTGAGAGCCTTTTTCTGGGTGCTGTGTATTACGAGGTGCCTAAAACAGTGCCCGCTACAAAGAGGCACTCAGTAAATACTCAGTGCATTGCTAAGCAAAGGGACCTGCACAGGCGTGCACCTCTGTTCAGAGCTGCAGTTTCTCTGCAGTGCTGCACAGGAATATCTTAGTGGCTGAGCACTGCTGCCTCAACCTCAAGGGAAGAGATTTTGCCCTCTCTCTTCTGTGATTAAAATTCATTCCAACCCCGCTTCCTATATCCTTCTTAATGGAAATGTAGAAGGTAAGTTATGGGGAAAAGCCAACAAAATTAAAAACACATGGCTCAAAAGTTGAGACTGCATTATCATATAGATGATCTCTTTTAAATACAAGAGAATGAAAAAAAGAAAGAAACTGGATTCACATAGTGGTGAATGGCATTGTAATGGCTCTCAACTTTCTGTATTGGCCCCTCGACTCTAGGCAGACAGCAGCCTCCCAAAAGCATCAAGAATGTGGCAGGCTGTTGGGAGGCACAGATGGTCCCGAAGAGTCAAGATGACCATGAGCAGTTTGCAGAACGCTTCCCTGAGCACCTCCCTGTGACACAACTCTCCCGATGAATGCTGAGAACCCAGGTTACAGTGCAAATGGAGGACACTAGGTCCGGAGAGGAGAGGGTCAGGACAGGTAACCAACAGCAACAGTCTCCAGAGTTCCTCCACAGACTACTTCCTCATGGTGTTCCATGCAAAAGGTATTTTTTGCAGTCAGTCAAATTGTAAACTGACAGGTTAAACAAGATTACACAGGTTTCCTAATTGTCTCTTGACTTACAAGAACCCATGAAACTTTTCTGAATCTTCAATATGAGGCTTCATATAAAGAATTTTCTACTGACTTTCCCAAGCAATATTTATTTTTCAGAACATCATCTAAGACTGGTATTCTGAATAATATTCTTTAGGAAATCTCAGAGAAAGCAAATAAGAATAAAAAGGCAAGGAGAAAAATGGAGCCCATTTGTGGTTTACTAGATACTAATAATTAATTTATTAATCTGAACATATCAAAGGCAAGATGACTGGGGTTGTTTAGTGCACTCTGAATAACTTCCTATTATTCTGGGAGTGTAATTTCAGGCATGAAATTATAAAAACCTAAGTGGCTCTCAGGAATAATAATAATAAAACCCTTTTATCACACTCACAAAGATAACAAAGCTAACTCCCAGGTTTAAAAAGTTATTATAGTCTTTTCATCTATGACAGCTACAGATACAAGCTAGAGCCTCCTCATCTACCCATTGCACCACAGAGAAAAGTACAATTTATTTTTTAAAACTCTCAGTATATCTCAAGAGGAAAGTTTATTTTAGGGCTAACGGGTGGAGAGAAAAAACTAAGGCTGAAAATGCTTTGTCCTTCCTCTTGGATCTTCTCCAGACTCTTTAACGACAAAAACCAACGGGATACAGTGCTTTGGACTTTAGCTGACTAGTGCCCTCTGCTGGGATGTGCACATGACAACGTACACAGGAAGCGCTTGGAACTAAATGACTTCGATATTTACCCAAATCTTTCTGGCACAGTGGCTTCGGCTGTCGTCACTTGGCTACCCCACAGACCCATCAAAGTCAACTCATCTAAAAATACATTTCAGGCATAATCCTGCTTCCTGCAAAGACTTTCCTGCAGTCCCGCCCAGGGACCTTCCCAGGGATAGAGGGGCCAGACTTCCCTCTCCCCACTGGCAACCAGGGAGAACCTGCACCTGCACAGCAGCACTAACAACTGCCTCTCCTCTCTTCTCACTCCTCTGTGGTGCAGCCTCTGCTGCACTGTAGTCAGCAGACCACTGGCAGACCCTCTGCCTTCCCCTTGCCTCCTCAGAGCCATCCTCACAAGGGCAAGCCTTGGAAAACAGTAAGCTTAGCATTTGAGAGCACTCCCAGAGCTGTCGGGGGAGTCCAGCTCCTTGCCTCCATATAAACCCTGCCAATGGGCCCACCTCTTACATCTGATTTCCTGGCACCACCACCACTGCATGTATGCACATGTGTGCACCTGCACATACACACACATACACACCTACACTCCAAGGGCCATAAATCAACCTGTTTTCACCATGCTTCGTAATGCATCGTCTAGTTCAAAACTCCACGTTACACCCATTTCCACTGTCTGAAATTCCCCTTTCTCCATCAGATCACATCTCCAAGTCATCTCCTCCAGGAAGCTTTCCCTGATCCTTCCTGTGTAACAGTCTGCAGCCTGCTCACTCTGATCTGCAAATGACTCCGGGAGCACTTAATCAGACTCTACTGAGAGAGCTTGTTTGGCTGCCTCAACCCTAATCTCTCAGCTCCCTTGGGCATAGAATTTGGAATCCTGATACATATTTAGACCTGGTATATATTTAAACTAAGCCTTCTAACTTAGTTTGAAGAGGAATTACAAGGCAGGAAATTTTATATATATATATATTTTTTGAAAATTACCAGGGTAGAGGCTTAAATAAGAAATAAGGGTAGTATAAAAATGTCAGCAATGCCTTAGAGCTTGGCAACTGACAGCCCAGAAACTTAGCTCTAAGTTTTTAGCAGCCAACTAGAAGAAATCTGATTAGCTACAGCTACAGCAGTCAAGTCAGGCCAAGTGCTTAGAGGAAGCCAGCATTCATGACCTGAAACCAGGAAAAAGCTTCTCCTACTGGCCCTTCAAAAGAAAGCATGAAATAATCCCTCCTTGGGCAGGAAGGGCAAACTGTAGCACCTCAACACAGCCAAAAGCATCACTCACAGAAAGCAGCAAAAGCACCCGCATGGCCCTGATCTCAACATCCGGCAGGAGGTTCCATGAGTCGGGATGAACCGTAAGGCAGGTGCAGTATTGACACCACACAGGCCTCAGCCACTCACTGTAAAAAGCCCTGCTCCAAGACTGCCTTCTAACATTCCGCTTACTCCTATCCACTTGAAATACAGCTAGCGTATGCTGCCAATTAAAAGCAAAATCATAGGTATTAATGAGCTGTTAATATTGGAGGCTCAGAACAAGAACGTTGCCTTATTCTTCCTTCCTAGCCCCAGCATCTAACATGATGGCTCCTAGACCTATCAGGACAATGTCCCTTAAGATTAATAAATATTTTGTACTTTTCTACTATCCTGAAATTATACGTAAAAAATAGCATAACTCTACCTGCCCAAAAACATATGTATGTTTATGTATATGAATATATGCATGTATATGTGTGTGTGTATATATATATATGACCCTATCTTTACCTACAACCTCAAAAGAATCAATAGTACCCTAACTAAAATATGAAGCAAAAGTAAAATAATTAACACTATTAACACTCAGATAATATATATTTCAACATTCAAAACATTTTCTCTGTGACACAATGATATCGTCAGATAGTTTGCAGTTATTGTCAGGTAATTGGAATACGTTCCAGACAAAAAGTATAGGAGTATGCAAAAACAATAATGCTTGCTAGGATAAAAACTCATGTTGGGTTGAGTGTGTTGGTGCACACCTGCAATCCCAGCTGAGGCAGCAGGATTTGCAGTAAGTTCAAGGCCAGCCTGGGCTACATAGTGAGACCCTAGCTAGAAAGAAAGAAAGAAAGAAAGAAAGAAAGAAAGAAAGAAAGAAAGAAAACTCATGTTTCATACTAGTCATACTAATAGGCCAGATTTATTACTATAGGAAAAAGATATACACATGCCCAGATAGACTGTCAAGCTGGAGGAAAGGAGAAAAGACAGTAATATTCCGGTAATGGGTGCCATGTACTGGGCTCACACCATGATTCCATGAACTAAGTGAAACAGAATATGACTCTGTATTATGAAAAATCTCTCTGTGTATGAACTCCTAACATGCACAAATTGTGCATCTGGTCTTAGGATCAGCTGTATGGGGCAACTCTCAGATGCATGAGACTGCCCCATATTTTGATGAGCCTCACCTCTAAGTGTCAGTGACACTGCTCACCTCTCGTGCCAAAAAGCACCCCATTATCCTTTTGTGATTCCTGTGGCATCCCAAGACCTGCTGGCCAGCACAAAGAAGGAGCTCCACACAGGGTGAATGAGCCAAACAACCGGCCAGAGGGCTATGTGAATAAACTTTGGAACAAGAACAATCTGTGTATCAGGAGAGTACTCCGAAGATCAGGAGTGTAAAGGCTGGCCCAGGTTCAGCAAATGGCACTTGGCGAAGCCAACGAAACATGGAGACGGTTGTAGGTTATGCCTGGTGCTGTCAGAGGACACAAGGCTCTGACCTGTCACATAACCCCAGATTTCATCTCTACGCCCTCAGTTCCTGCTTTGTTTCACTGTGTATCAGCAGACTAGTTCACCAGTGAGTCCTGGGGCCATCAGGGATGCCTGGGTGGGGCAGCGGCATGCGTACCTTCTTTAGCGTCTGCAGCTCCACAGGGCATGGTTGGTCTTTCCTCTGGCCTGGCTTCTTGCTCAAGAGCCTAAGAGATGAAAAACAGGGACAAACAAATCATCAAAAACCACTTGAGACTAGAGATATTCAACAAAAGATCAAACTCACAATCACTGATCTCAAAATTAGGAAGATTGGGAAGAAAGGAGTAGGTAAAACCTTTTGGAAGAACTCAAAGCCAGCGCCCCAGAATAACAAGGACAGAAGTTAGGAGAAACCTAGAGGCAGAGGCCAAAACTTGTTCCTTGGCCTCTTCTGTGGGTCATGAAGGTTCTCAGGAACATGATATTCAAGTCAGAAAGAGAAGAGAGTCTTCAGGTGAAAAAGAAGGCTCACCAGTTTATTCATCTGGAGCATCTCATACTCATGCCTTAAGACACGGTGATGCGGGAGAACCAGGTGAGGGCAGGGAATCATGGGGAGGATCCAAGAGAACCACGGGCCAGGAGATTACAGCGTGAGCTGCAAGCTGGCACACCCTGACACAGGTGTCCCAGGCTGAAGCTAAGTAGATGAGCCTTCCCCAGGATGAGAGTCTTCTGCCCTCTGGGACCATATGGACTTTCTTTCAGACAGATTCTCCACATCCAACAAGAATGTGAAGAAACACAGAATGGTGTGTTGATGTGCCAGATGGTAAAACACCCCAAGAGTGTATGACCACATGTGCAGGTAACCACACATCTACCATAGATGCCTTCCTGACTCTCTCCTAGCAGGTTATTAGGCTCAGAGGAGCAAGTGTGATACTCTTCAACCACTTCAGAGCAACAGCTCGAGGCCAGTGCACAAAGAATGTGAAAATGGACACAGTGTACTGATCACAAGGGGGCAGGGAGCAGGGTGCCTTGTCATCCAACCTGAGGCTCATTAACTTTCTCAGTCCTCACTGGACACAGAGCTTTCTCTTCCAGGGCCCTGGGCATCGGGAACAGATCAGAATAGGCTAGCGACAGGATGACCTAAGGCCAGGGACAAAATTACAATCCAGGCTCAAGGACTGAGACAACTATCTGCCCCTCCAGGTTTACCTGGAGTCTGCTTTGACCTTGAGCCCCTTGTCTTCTGGGGAGAGGAGATGCCAAGCTCATAATCTAAAAAAGGGGCATCAAACAATGCCAGCTTCTTATCAAAACAAAACTTAGAATAAAATATTGTCTTTTTGGTAAATGAGATATATGAAAACTTACTTTTATACCTTCATGGTGCAACTTTAAAAAATTTAAATGTCTTACTTGTCTTGTTCATGTCAGCCCACTTCTATAACTACACTGTCAGGATTCTAAACAATAGAAATGCTCTCTTATGAAGAGACAATTAAAACAATAATTAAAGATATAGCTAAGATTTTGCCCATTCACAGGTGTGAGTAGAACTTAGAACACATGTTTACCATGGGAAAGGCCCTGGGTTAAATCCCAGCCCCAAAAAATAAAACAGTCGACTTTGCCTAATCCTTAATTTCTTAGTAGCTGTCTTTACAATCTGGGTATTTAGCATCAACCTGCCATTTTAATCTTAGTATTTATTATGAATTGCCATGGCATCATAGTCAACTGGGACATAATAAGAGACAAAAGCTTAGCCAACTGTGGCTTCTGAAGGGGATCACAGGAACAGCTCTGAGGACAGCAAAGCCCACACAGGACTGCAGCCAGGCTTCACTGCTGCTGTCCTAGAAGGCTGCAGGTAACTGGGCAGCGCTCACACCCAAAACTACACACACCTTGGAGGAGGAGACTGCACTGCAGGAAGCACCACTCAGCCCTTTAGATCATCATTACAGCTGTCTATAAAAATGAACTTTTAGCCATGCAATATTCAACAAAGCATGAATATTTACTGTTTGAAACCTATGTATAATCTCATAATATCTTCACCAATGTTGTAAAGCTTTAGTGTATACAACCCATCTAATAATTCCCACTGACTTACATTTAAAATAACACCTAACTAAGAAGTACCAAAAATAATTGTAAATTCAAGAATACCATAGAAGTGTTTGTCAGGCCAGTAAGAATGAATGCCCCAGACATCAGGAAGAATCTCAACTATTTCCTTTCTTCCTCTGCCCCTGCTTACTGCCCCACCACATACCTCTAGCAGAAAGGAAAGAATAGTGCTGTGATGGAACACTATTACATCTTAACCACAACATTTACCAAGTGTTTTTAATGAAATTAACTAAAATGAAAACCTCCGAGAAAGAGGATAACTACCCCTTAATGGTCTTTGGTGTTGTGAAGTCTTATAATACATCATGGAGGTATCTAGATTTATTCACTAGAAATCTGCCCCAGAAGTCATCAGCACTATTTCAAATGTACATGGGAGAAGTCACAAACTCCGCCCCAGCCCTGACAGCTGGGGGTGGGGGTGGGGAGTGGTTGATGAAGTGAATGCCCAGCAATGCCCAGCAGTGAGTGCTTGCACACACAGCTTGTTCTACTGTTCTGAGGAGTTCAGTCACCACGTACCATGCTGCTGTGTATCTCTTCTGAGGATACCCACATTGTGAGTTCTGTCCCTTGGGGCTGCAGGGCACAGAGCTCATCCTGAGACAAAGCTGGTGTCTACCTGGCCAGATCAACCATTACCCGGTGCTTTGGTTAAAGTCACAGTGATGGCTGAGGACTCAAGCAAAACCCTCATTTGTGTTTTGTATGTGACATCATGTGTGAGTAACACATAACATGAAATTTCCTAAAACCCAACAGAAAGGTAGATCAGACACTGAAGAATATGCTTTAATTGTTTAAAATAAAACTCTATATGGAGCAAGCCAATAAAAACATTTACTACATAAGGGCTTTTAGCTTTTACTTATATGATGTGAACATACAAAAGCTAAAACTGTGACAAACGATGATGTCTATTTTCTTAGCTAACTTTTTAAATCTGTTTTAAATCTATGAAAATTGTACCTTGCTTACAGATGTGCTTTAAAACCCAGGAGACCACAGAGTCTGATGAGTGTAACTAGTAAGTCCATTAGACTCTGATAGTGGTCTCCTCTATTAGTCCAGGCTCTCTCACCCAAAGCAACATTTGGCTTAATAATAATAAAAATGTGTAAATATTCTTTACGTTCTTTCAGAGTATATAAAAGAATAATTACAACAGTAACGATAATAATAACAATGAAGGCAAAACACTTTAACCTCTAGATTCTCACCTGTCTTTGTGTGTATAAAGGACAAAAGCTTAACTAGCTGGGGATATAGCTCAGCAGCATAAGTGCCTTCCTAATAAGTACAAGGTCCTGAGTTTGATCCCCATTACAAAAAAACAAAAGCTTAACTGTATCTAAGCCATAGTAAGAAAGCCCAGGAGTAGGTATTATACATAGCCCTAGATGCAACTCCTTTAGATAAGAATTATAATACAGTTATATATTATAAATAAGAGCAGAGAAAATATCAAATATGAGAATATTACAATCAAACCACTGATAGGGCTGGCTCAGAAAAATAAAGGAATCAAAATTAATTTTACAAACTATTTTCCTACTACCGTCATATATAGTAATCTTCATTCCATGTTCTAAGTTTCCAATTCCATGCCCCCAGGGTTTCACTGGATTAAAAAAGCGCTCCCCCAAAAAGCACTTGTTCCCAAAACAATGAAGGGAGGCCTGCACTCTGTCTAGAAGCATGCACCTCTGTACACCAAAGTAACCAGCACAAACCTTAACAAGAAAGGCTCTGTCCCAAAAATATTTTCGGAAGAGTTTAATATCTGCCTCCAGTAAGTGCTCAGCTGTGTGGTTAAGGGTCAGAGTCAGCGTGTCTGATGAGTGCACATACTGCAGAGAAGCATCCTCGCTGAGCCTCACTCTGGAGAAGCCTAGGGAACGTGGGCCCTGGAAACTGAAACATCACAAGTCACAATAGGCACACAGCTCCAGCAGCACCGCCCCATCACCCCAGAACCCTTTCTCCCCAGAAAGGACAAATCCAATTGGCAAGTGAGCCTTGAAAGTCACCTACATGCAACAGATACGTAAGATCACATAAACATACTAGGAAAGCCATCTTTTTTATCCCACCTAGGGAAGCCACTTATTGAAAAGAATTTGAAATATCCATATACTTTCAAGATTTCTATAAAAAATGAAATGATAATGACTTTCAAATGTAGAAATTTATCTCAGTATTTCATTTTCTTTTTAACCTGAAAAGATGCCTCTCCCTTTACCAGGACCACATGTAGAGCAAATTAGCTGGCAGCCAGTGGTTTATTAGGTGATTACAGTGGAAAACAGATATGATCTCTGGGGAGGCAGTGAGGTTTGGCTGTTACAAACAAGTGAGATATTCATAACACACTGGGACCAATGTTGTAAATCCCTTTCTCATGCAAATTAAGACATGCATTAATTTGAGCATGTGAATTCATGAATACACTCATTAACAAAGGAACCATATCCCCAAACTAAATTCTTAAACATAAACTTATTTTCTGTTCTGTCTTGGCTAAGAACATTTGCATACTTATTAGTTGCACATAAGCTCCATAGTTAGTGAAACAATATTCTAGATGGTTTATAGCAAGAGTTAGGATGCCTCAGGAAAAAAGCATTATTATTCAGCATGTTGTCACATCCCAACAGATTGTTCCCAGATTCCTTTATTCACAGGACCAGCTCCATGCCTCCTACTTCTAACATGACTTCCTTTTGTTAATGAGTGGTTGCTTTCCAAAAACGTTGTACAGTCCCAATTTATGATGGCTTGACTTGTAATTTCCCAACTTAGCCATGGTGCAGAAAGTATATGCATTCATTATAAATCTTACTTCCAATCATGAATTTTGACTATTGCCCCAAGCTAGTAATGCTGGGCGGCGGCAGAGCACCATAATTCCCAGTCTGCAACATAATCCCAGAAGAAACCGCTAAGCTGTGCTATTCGGCAGGTTAGGTGCAGTACATGCATTCTCCACATGAGAATTTTCCATCTTACACTGGGTTCATGGGGACATAACCTCATCATAACATAAGGAGCATCCGTAATTCCTTTGACATAAATATTCCCTCCATCACATAGAGTGATAAAAAGGAATCTATAAAGAACAGTCATACTCTAAGACTTGGGGAAACTCCCTAAACTCTTCAAATTAATTATGATAAGAACTCCAGAATCTTCAAGAAACAAATTCACCATGCTAACAATGAACCACTGAAGTGAATGAGCTTTGAGCCTCAGCAGTAAGATGATTGCTATTAATTAGAACATGGTTATTTTATTATGTGATCCGAATTCAGTTTAGTCTACTTTTAATCTAATCTATAAATGTTTTTTATTAAACATGTAAACTTTTAAAAACACAATTTTATTATCTCAAACACAGTGAAAAGATTCAAAACTGCTAACATATAAAGAAGTCCCACTCCAAGACCTCAGTGGAACGCTGAACTACCCACAATGACTAAATCAAATGACACATTCTTGTCCACCCATTTTAGGTAAAAAAAAGTGAGGTCCTGTTAAACCAAAGGGAAATTCCCTGTGGAAAGGCTTATCTCTTGGTTGATAGGCATTTGACCAAATTTTTTAAAAAGTTTTTAAAACCCTCAGATCTCTACTCTAATGTCCACCTATACGTCACATAACCATAAATTAATTACAATCAGTGCCATGAGCCAAATAAAAGCCATCCATTAAGACATACTATATGATATTTAATATTTATATAGCACTTTGAGTCTTTAATGAATCTTTTTATTTATATTTTGCATTCTATTAAAACAAATCACTACATATAAATCCTCCTTCCATAAGTTAAGAATAATGACCTATCTGAACCATTCTAAGTAATAAACAGTAGGTTCATTGTTTACTGGAAGTGTTGATATCATCATCAAAATAGGGAACTTAATAGTTAACAAGTGATTTCCTTTCCATTATTTTACTACATGTTAAATAGTATCAGAGACTTTGTCATTCACTGACTCAAGAAACACCTATGTTCTTTTAGTGAAAATTATGGGCTGAACACTATACGTAAAGATACTGCAGTGGGAAAAACAGAAATGATCCAAGTTCTCAAATGATTTATCAGGCAGGTATGTATGAAACAAATGGTCCCATTTATAATCAGAAATTACTATTAATATTACAGGTTCATGAAGCATTGGCAGATGGCCTCTCTGAAGCAGTGACATTTAAGCTGAAACGTCATAGATATGTAGGGGTTAGGCTATAGTTCCCCAGCATTTTTTATTATCTCTTTCCTGTGGAGCCTTTTGAGCCCTTTTGTCCCACGTCTTCTCCATGAAATATTAATACCAAATATATCTGCTTATGTAATTAATGTTCTTTATACATGAGAGCTAACAGTAAAGAAAAAAATTAACATAAGCAGCATTAGCTTATGGCTTCTTTATTTTCATTTCTCCATAGTGCTGACAGACTTTACAGAAACAGGTTAAAAGAGGAACTATCAAGCAGCTGAACTCACTTTGAGAATTCTTCCACAAGTTTCGAGTGTCCGCCATGTGAGGCCAAGTCTACAGGCGTGGCCCCCTCTTCGTTGGGTAACACTAAGGCCTGGACACCCCCAGGGAGACACAAGAGGAAGTGGGAAAGCTTAGCCAGGCCCCATCTCATAGCCAGGTGTAGAAGAGACTCTCTGTGTAGAGATACTGTAGAGAAAGAAAAACATGCACCATTAGTTCCTCCATTTCCAAAGTTCATTTCATACATTTTGTCTAAAAGATGATTTATTTAGACATAAGAAAATGTCAAAGCTAGAAGGAAACAGGAAAAGCATCTGATTCCAGCACCTGACTCTAAAAATGTGAAGAGGTCCAAGGGTTTGTCCACAGTCAGGAGGCTGGAAGATGCTGGAGCTGGGTCCACTCTTCAAAAGGGTGATTCCTTTCCACCCACAATACTATACATTGTCATCAGCTGTCACTAAACATATGAAAGCACATTTATGGAAGCAAGCTCTATGAAAAGACTATCATTTCTAAACAAACACGTGCCAATCTCCAAGGTACCCTTTAATGAGCTCCTCCTACACTTGTAGGACAGGATCGAAGGCCATGACCACAAAGGAGCCTCTGTCTCCACCCTTTGTCCTCAAAGTGGCTCCTCCACTGATGAGTAGCTATACCAGCCACACACTCCATATGTCCAGAAATCTTGACATCATAGTCTTTGTTAAGCTTTACAGTAGCACTTCTGCCCATCTATTAGATCCCTGGCGTTATTAATACTGCCAAAGCCATTTTGGTGATGTGCAAGGCCTGGACCTTTTTAATAGCCGAGACAAAAGGCTCTTGGTTGGTCTGTGTCTTGGTTTCTATTTTGATGTTTGCTGCTCTACATTATGATTATAACTGATTGTATTACTTTAAAGGCTGACGGATTCTTGGAGATTTTATTCCTAATACCTTGCATCTGGTAAACAAGGCACTCAGTATCTGTGGAGTTGAATGGCAATCAGCTGTTAAAATCCTAATTGCCTGTGTATGCTTCAATTACCTAATTTGTATAAAGCTTGTACACCTGTATTCCTGCTGCAGCAGCTGAGTACCTGAAACACAGCTGGTCAATGACAGGCACCATAAAGCAATAAATCTGCATCAAAGAAGCTAGGTACATGCTGGTAGTCCTCACATTCAGGAGGCTGGAGTTGGAGGATGACCTGAGCTTAGCAGTATAAGGTCAGCCTGGGCAGCAGGGTGAAACCCTTTTTAAAACAATAAGTAAACAAGTAAAAGACTCATCAACTGCACAGGCATTGGCATACCTACAACATGTCTCCCATTAACAACCTAAACATGAAAATCTCAGCTCTTGAGATCTATTGCACAGAGCATGCATGAAAATATGAGCTACACACCCATTCCAGTGAGGTCATGTTCTCGACTGAGTTTGTAATTTAAAGAGAGCCCAGTGAGCTATGTCACAGTAGAATGAAAGGCTTGAGAGGAGAGGGAGCTTGTCTTCTATCCTGTGGTGAACACTAGACCCATGGTAGGCACTCAATAAATGAATGCTTATTGGATAAATGAATGAATGACCAATGGTTCTCTCCTCGGTGAACTGGTATGAAAGTTAGCTCTCAGCGCTTTGTTGCAGTTGCTATACGGAGGATCTGTCATTCTTAGAGTTGTCTCAATGTCAGTAAAATGTCAGACCAGAAACTCTGATTCCCCCGACAATGCTTCTATCCGCATTAACAGGACTGTATCGCTCTACTGTCTTCATGAAAAACTACGATTCCCAGACATTCTTGCCTAGACAAATAAATGATTGTTCATTACAGAACTGCCCTCAAGCCTCATCCACTCTTCAGTACAAACCATCAACAGACAGGATAAACAGCTAAAACCAACTCTAAATATACCTTAATTCTTACCTAATCCTACCAGCTCCACTCCAAGCCTGCAATTACCCACCACCATGCCCAGGATAAAAGATTCTCATTAAACCAAACTTAAAATTCCCAATATATTCAGCCTTGCCGCCTCTTCCCATTACACGCACACACGCATGCACGCATTAACTATACAGGGCTCTATGGAGCCTATGTGCCCCTCCCCACAGCAGTGACTTCACTCAGAACTCTAACTGAAAAGAATTAAGAGGAGATTCTACTGTACAAGAATGCCAAAGAAAAATGCTGTTTTTAACTGGTCTATACTGCTATTTCTGTATGTAGATCTATGTAAGGCTTTAGGTTTCAAGTATGTAAATGAGTCTATCACTATGAAATTCCACCAATGTCTCTGAATATTTATTCCATCATGAGTTTGTGTGACAAGACACAGATCCTCCCAGTAAAGTAATACCCAAAATGCCAAGATATCAAAAAATGGCAAGGCAGCACAGTGCCACCAGATATCTATTAGACACCTTCATCTTAAAAAAAAAATCAAAACAGCTGAGTTGGCTATTAAAGAACTTTATTTTACCGTTTTAATTTTTGATCATTATTCTCATTAGAATAGAAAGTAGAATTTCTTATGCTTAACAACTCCCCCGCGGGGAATGTTTGACAACATTGCCATTTTTCTTCCTTTTTAAATACTAACCAGGAAAAGACTTGCTAGGAATGGGTAATAACAAAACATGAACACATGCACGTGTGCACATGCGTGTACACACACACACGCACACACTGGCAGAGGACAGCCCCCGTGAGAGTAAGGTATTAGCCAGCCACAGAGGGGTGGAATTTCTAAGACATAAATCCTGATCTGAATCTGGTGATAGATGTCCCACAGTTGTATAGGTTGCAATTTTTTTGCCCCTCAAAATAAAACAAAAACATAATCACATAGGAGCAACTAACCCCTCTTATTTCCCTTTTAAAATGACAGCTACACATGCATTCTAGTGAGGTCATGTTCTTGACTGAGTTTGTAATTTAGAGCCCCACCTCCATGTCTCCAAAAGGAGAGAACAGTAAATACATGGAACTCAGTGGTTCACTTTGGACCCTCAGTATCTCTGTCACCCCAAGATTTTCTCCACTTCCAGGTATTGAGGGAAAGCAGGGGCAAAGAGGATCTTCTGATGTTTAAAAAAATATTTAAATAAGAAACTGTCCATAGTGTTGTGAAAGAGCACTGTCTCATTCAGTATGAACATCCAGAAGAAGACAAACAACTTGCAATAGGAAGCATCATGACATATATAAATAATTCTGCTCATTAGAGAGTTTCAAATTTCTAAACAGCAGCCAGAAAAGAAAACTGCAGAAAGAAGTTACAGTATTTGGCAGAAATAGGACTAATTAAAATTGAAAAAAAAATTCTAAATAGATGTCTCTCTTCTTGTTTAGTTGGCATCTAGAGTTGTCTGAGCTACTGTAATAAAGCAGTTACTAGTAATTGCTCTAATGGCAAACGTTAAAAGATGTGACTGGTGACCAGGAGTACAAACACTCAGACACAGGAAAGAACTGGCGAGACTGGGTCACTCCATAAATCATTCCCATAATGGCACTCGAGGGCCCATCTGCCCCAGACAGGAAGGAAGCTCCAAGTGCCCGCTCCTCAGTCTGCAGAAGAGTATTAGCTTCTTCACCTGCCAAATAATGCTGTCACAATGCAGAGCCAAAGTTTCTACAAATATTCCACCTTCTCTTGAATTCACAATGATGAAGAATGGTGCACACCAAGGGGACTTCCAGAACGTCTGGGACAGAACAGGCAACCTGGCAAAATGGTTTGATTATTACAAAACGAAAGTGGTTTTGTTCCCTGTTTACATTTTGAACTGTTATTTTACTCTCACAAGGTCTGGTTGTTCCTTTCAGCAGGAAATGCAGCTTGGGGGATTGAAAAATTAATTTTCAATATAGGTTTATTTATTACTCCAAATGCCCCACAATAGAAGACGGTAACAGTGGGCAGGCTGCACTTTGTATAGGACAGGGGATACGTGGGATATCTCTGTACTTTCCACTTAGTTTGTCGGGAATTTAAAACTGCTCTAAAATATAAAGTCCATTAAAAATTAAATGAAATTAATTAATTAACCAAGCCCTCTGGAACTCACAACCACTGCCAGAGAAATGTAAACTGGCACTAGCACCTTGGAGCACACAGTGACATTGTCTAGTAAATTTAAAGACACTACAGTCTCAGTAAATTCATTTCATAGCAATCCCATGCCTACATACAAAGGAGTATGCTTCATAAGCACCAGGAAACATGCATAAAAATACAGTTTTTAAAAGTAGAAGTAACCTTAATGACCATCGACAATGCAATCAATTACAATGCAATCGTATGAGAGTATTTTTAGAATAAAAATGAATGACAGATTAACAGAAGGGGGTAGTAAGTACAATGGAAAGAATATTCAGGTCACTAAAGAATATATGAGGATGATTTAAATTAATAGGAAGTCCAAAACAAGTAAAAAAACAACATGCCTACATATATATTTAGTAATGAAAATACAGAGAAAAGCAAGGAAATGATTCGTATATAAGTCAGCATAATATCTCCGAGGGCAAAGAGGAGAATGTGAAAGGGAAGGGCGGAAGAATATTGGTACTTCCGGGCTTCATCCATTGTATATGTTTCTGCCTTTCCTCATCTGCCTTGGCCCCTTTCTTTCTCACCAACACTCATAAATACTTTAGACACACATACACAGGGAAGGGGGGATGGCGTTTTAGGACAGACTGATTCATTCAGATCCTCTCCAGAACAACTAATTCAAAATTTCTAAAGTGAGAAATGAGCATAAACTTTCCTAAAGATTCTCAGGTTATTTAATGCAACGCCAGGTTTGGAATCAGCTACTTTAAATAAGTAAATCAGTAAACTTTATCCCAATGTTCTCCTTTTCAGGGAATGGTCTTCCCAATCAGCTCTGAAGCACTGTCACCTAAAAAGAATGTCACTAAAGAACAACCCAAATAAAATATTCTGTTACTTTTAGAAATTATCTTTCATCTACATTATTGCTAAGCCAGGAAATAACCCTAAACATGTGGCAAGATCCTAACACTAAAATGTGAGGAGTACAATAATCAAGAAACAAATGATACTTTTAAATGCAAGATAATTCATACATATTGTACTTAGTAGGATTCAGTCATGTTTTAGAACTCATGAGTAGAGCCATATAGTGCATTTAACACACTAAATTTTTAGAAGATCAAAGTATTTCT